CAGTTTCACCTCCATTGATCATTGTTACCTGTGACCATTGACATAATTCTATCTGAATAATTGCAGGTCAGCTATTTTGATGCAGAAGAAGCCGCTGAAGTTATTACATCTGGGGAATATGATGAGGCCAATCATGAGGCTGAAATACAAGAGGAAGATGGGTCGCATAAGCCTTGTAAGGAATATTTGTTATGTCTCGTAGCAGTGGAAGAAAGGATGAATATTTAGTTTTTGATATTTTGCTTCATGAAGTGTACCTTTTAAAACCATGCATTGTACTGAACCAAATTTTGAATATGACTTTACTTAACAGTAATTCACATTTGAAATAATACGATGTTGTATGGTAATTGTGTCCAAGGGCAAGGTTGATTTGATTTTTTAGTGATAAAAAAAAAAAATCTCATGTACAGGGAGGAAAGGTGGAAACACAACCCTGTGGAGTTTACCTGCAGTGAGGGCCCTCCTTGATATCTATGAAGAACACGAGCAAGAGTATGTGAACAAGACAGTCAGACGGAGAGTGTTTTGGGAAATTGTTGCCGAGAAGATGAAAGAGAGAGTAGGTTGTTTGAGAAATGTCAGTGATTTATGTTACATCAGGGAGAGATGCTTTTCTTATGGTTGATGTGAAAAAAAAATCATTTGTAATCTGAGATCTATTCATTGATGAAATTGAGGGTTTTTGATGTTAGCCTGTCTTTCCAGTTTTCTTGTAAAAGATGTAATCTTATAACTCACAGTTATTTAGAGAAAATTATGTATTCACTAGGATACTTCTAAAATAGGTGTAATCATTAGAAGTATATATCATATCAAATAAACTTGATCAGCCTTTGTGGAGACTGCATTTGATTTATTAATATATTGTGATTTAGGTTAATGTATTGATTTATTCATTGAAAGATAGCAGATCTGTTGATTAAGCTATGAATTATATATCTAAAAAGTGAAGATCTTTAAAAAAGAGTTTACTTTTTAGATAGCAATTTTTGGTATTAAAAAAAATACCTTCCCTTAACACGGAATTCTTTCCCTTTTCCAGGGCTTTGAATATGACTGGTGCAGCTGCAGAGTTCGCTTCAAAGGAATGTGTCGAAAAGTGCTCTCTTTGGCCATGCACGTAAGTTTGTGCAGTTTTTAAATTTTTATTTATTTCATTTTTTAAGAGTGAATACATTGTTCTTGCATTTCTTCTGTGTGTCTGTTGGAATAGTATTTCAAATGTTCTCAGTTTTTATATGTTTGTTTTTAAATTTCAGTGTAACAATCCATTCACATTTTGACATAGTAGGTTATGTGATTTTGTGTGTGTGTGTGAATTTTGAATATACGCAGTTATATTAGGGCATATAAAGAAGATATAACTTTTTTATATCAATGATTGCAATACAGTCTTTCTAATTTAGAAAAAAAATACAAACTGGGGAGGCATTCCATCACAGTACACATATTGAGGTTGAAAAAATGAGAGGTACAATATATGAACACTTTATTTGAAGCAGTCAGTCAGAATCATAACTACATTTACAATTAACATGGCATTTTCAAAGATGGAAATGTAGTAGCATCATACCATATTTTTTGCTATAGACTTCCAGTAGAAAATCAGTGTATTTGATATGAAGACTTTATCTGTATATGGTCTTAACAAAATGGATCTGTTTGATTTAGAATGAGATATGTATGCAACAGAACCCCTCAAATAGTATCATTTCCACTAACCCAAGGCCTCTGACCTGGTTAAAATGCTGAAGTATCTAAAGTTTAGGGTATGGGTAAGCATTATGCTTATATGTGGGCAACCAATACACTTGTTTTCATGCCTTATATGTTCCAGTGAAGTTCTGGCTTTGATATAGATATAATGTTAACATCAAGCCTTAATGCTATTTTGTGGCCTTAATTCCTGCTAAAGCATCTACCCTCCATGGTGGAAATTCTGCATAGTTATTGGATTTTGGTATTAATGACATAGATATAGGGTCGGATGTCCATTCACAGCATGGCATGTATTACAGGTCACCCAGAGGCAATGGGTTAGTTATCATTATAGTTATCATTTGATTTATTGTTGTTTGTATTTGCTTACCTGTTTATTTTTATTCAGTTTATATATATATTTTTTTATCTGTTTATCTGTCTGCCTATCTATCTATCTTTGTATCTATCTTATTTAATGATTTTGTCATATCATCAATAACATCTAAAAAAAAAAAAAATGTCTCTTGACTCAGGGAAGGTCCAAGCTGACTCGAAGACTATGGTGGGAGGAACGAGTGGAAAGAATAATGGAAAATCTAGACCAAGAGTTCGTCAGGATGAGGCAGGCCCGCAGAAGGACAGTCAGTGACGCATCGGCTGCGAGCACTAGCTTTGGGGGTGCAGTGGCATTTCAGGTTAGGTTTCGGACACAGTATTATGATCATTTTTTTTTCAGATGTCTTTAGATTAATCATTTTATTTTCTTGTCTTTTCTTTCATGATGATATAATTCTTGGGTCTTATCTCTATTTGTATTTATTGTCTCTTGCTTTGTTTCATTATATATACTTGAATATGACTTGAAGAATGAGATTTGGATTGGAACATATGAATCTGATTTGATATATTAATTGCATTTGTAATCATGTAAATTGAGTTCATTTACAAATGAATGGATACATTGGCCAAGTTAATGAAATGACTACCATATTACCTTTGTGCATGATAAAGTGACATATATTGTGGCTATAAAGATTCTGTAATAACATAACTCTCATGCAATAAACTATCTCACGCACAAGTTGATCTCTGATAAAATTCTTTCTCTCTCATTCAGACAGTTGCTTACAATAAGCTCTGTCTCTCACGCAAGGTGTTCTCTTGTGATAAACTTTACCTCTCATTACAAATGATGATAAGCCTTATCTCTCACATAATTCTACAACCTGTCTCATAATATTACAATAAGTATTATCTCTCATTCACATTGATTTCTCACGATATGCCATATCTCTCAACAGCTCCCTGCCCAAGCCAGTCAGGTTAACATAAATGAAGCAGCTCACGATATTAGAT